ATTACACGCTGAGGTCTAGACCGTCAATCGCTCCGCATAGCAACACGGCAGCATAGCAACGCACTGGGCCAAGGCCCGGAACAAACGAGCCCTTATGTAACACACACAATGGGGCTCTATACAGAGCGGGCGGCGTGGCCGCAAAACCGAAAGGTCAATGGAAGTTGCTTGTGAGGGCCAGACTTGCCACGGGACACTCATTTTATGGGGTTTAGGCGATCAGAAAAAAAGATATGAATTTTTGAAGATTTTGAAAAAACGAAAATATTAAAATACTGCCCGGCAGCCCATGTAACGGTTAAAAAAAGCACCCGGCAGCAAGTGGTTAACCTACCCATAAGACTAATGCAATTTTGTGCATTTTTATGGCACGTCCATGCCTATCTTAAATAACATTTCTCTCAACTTTTATCTTATATACATGCACAAGTACACATGTTACAGAGACTACTGTTTGGATCCTTTTCTGGGTTGGACAAACTTCAATCAAATATCACATACATTTGTATGGATCTCATCAGCATCCTGGGATTCTAGTGGTTCATTCATGTCACCTACAATGGCATCATCAGTACTGTCCAATATCTCCTGTTTTACCTCACCGCACTCTGCACAATCTAAAACAAAAATAAGAAATCATTTGCAAATGTGTTACTTTGTGCTTTCTTTACTTATTTTTCCTTTGCAGCAACCCCTAATTCTAATCCAAATCAATACACTACAGAGAGAAGTATACAATTCAAACTTAAAATTGTTATATTTCCCTCAGAAAATTCTGTTTTTGTCCAACAACTAAAGAGCATTCTCTTCCCTGAGCAAGTTTTATACTTAAAGTGGTATTTTTCTTCACCCTCCAGATTGTACTTCCTCTCCTGCCTCAGAATTCCAAATCATTATTTACTTACCTAAGTTAAAACAATTAGCTAGCAAGCAATGCAGCCCAATACAACCATGATTAATTAAAAATATCACTTTGGGACATACAAGGAAAAATTCCCACTTACCAGCTTAAGGCCAAAAAAAGCTCTCTAGTTTCTGGTCAGGAGCTGGCTCCCAAAGTGGTGCGGCAATGTAGCTTTTTTTACCCTAATTTTTTTTCTGGAAATGATGTACGTATAACACTTAACGTCCCCAGTGACTGCATGTTCACGTAATGCCAGCCAACATTAAAATACAGTAGACTGGCCCCAACACTTTTAACTGTCTAGCATTTTCACCATGTACATGTACACAGGACATACGGCCACTTCATTTGTCTGTTTCCCAGATGTAAATACAGAAATGACATCATCTGAAAAGAGTGCCAAACTAAATGTATGGTCAAATAGAGGGACTCCTTTACTGACACCTTACTCAACCACATCTCATCAAAAACAAATTACAATTATGCAGTAACAGGACTCCAGTCAATTCATCGAGTTTGGCAGCTTTTGGCCATCACTTTATACCAAATAAAAGACGTTTTTGACCAGAAACCAGAGACTTTTTTTGGCCTAATACAACTGAAGTTATGAGTCCAAGGTTGACATACATGTACATGTACCTGGACAGTAACATGTGCATGCATGTACCATTTAAAAAGAAAACAGTGAAGAAAGGCAGTATAGACATACATGCATACAACTACAGTATACAAATTGTAATGTCCTGGTGCACGACTCAGGATAATAATCAACTATCATTCATAAATACCTTATAATACCAGTGTATACCTCATAATACTTGTGTATTCAAATTTGATAATGCCCGCTGAAAAGTGATAATGCCAGCTGCGTAAATCATGTGTAGCACCTGGATACGAGACAGTTTAATCCATTCTGATTGGTCAAGAGTATGTATATACATGGACCACCATGCGCATGCCAAGTCCATATAAGGAGACTCTTTGGACAACTTGCAAAAGGAATATAATATTATGTGGACGGGGTGTTCAGAAAAATTAAAGTAAATTTCTAGAACAAAATCGTTGGGAGTCCATCATACAGGTATATTGACTTCTTTATGAATGGGAATAAAAATGTGCTTGGCCGGTCGGTCTTAAACGTCAGTTTAAGCTTGGCCGGAGACTGACCAAAGACTTATTTTTTCCCTTATGAACAGTGTAAAACTTGCAAACATTGTGAACCAACATTTTGCCTTTATGGATCGTGAATCTGTGAATTCTGCAAATTCTGCAATGAACATGTAAACTTAACAACTTGATGCCTTTGATGAAAATTTTGGTGATTTCTTTAGGTAATGCTGTTCATGAAAAATGTAAAGGCCAGACAATAGTACATATTTTGTCATTTTTCCCCCAATCAAAATGTATATTACATGTAATGTATAAACACAATGGCACACAAGGCTATACAGAAGTGTTCCACAATTGTAACCAATACCTGTTTGAGCTTTTGGAGTCCATTAAGTATGAGGGATTCGATGCTTTCCCAAGTAGCTGTGTTATCTCACCATAACGTCAATGGGAAAAATTTTCATTTCATGAATACCTAAATGCACTTTTGCTTACTTTGGCTCTTGTGTTTAGAAGAGCTGATTCTTACCACCCTCCTATGCAAAGATGCATTCTTGACACAGTAGTCATTGTCAGTCAAAAATCAGTCAAGTGACATACAGTCATTTGCAAAAGTTCAGGACCACCCATAGAAAATGCATTAACCTGAAGGAAAACCAAACTTAAACCAAATAATCACGGCACCTTATGATTATTTTGAATGTGTAACCTTGGTACCTTGATTGAGCATTTTTGACAAAATTTCCATGATTTGAAATGTTAAAGTCTAATATTCAGTGCTCCCTCCTTTATTTCTGATTACTCAGACTTGCTTTTTTTTTACCCAAGCTGCCTTACAGAAAACATGTCATACAAGACCTGCCTTTGCAAAAATTTTCATTCAAATGGGTATATAAAACACTACACTAATGTTATGCACCACTGTAAAATCATGTTAAGTAATCAGTCAATGAGACAATGTTATGCAGGCCCAGTGGCAGAAATACCAGTCAAATTCCAGGTGGTCTTAAACTTTTGCAAATGAGTGTGCATGTGTGATATATCTATGTACTGTACAGGGAGAAGTAGAAGGAATTTTTGACTGTTTTTGACGGTTACAGCAAATGGACGGTTATTAAGAGACATTTCCACTAACTTTTTTCAATTGTTCTTTCAATTTTTTCATTGCTAAAAAATGATTATATGCGACCAAATGTTAAATTCTTATAGTCAATGGCGACCATGATTTGTGCCTCTTAGTCACCTACCTTGACCTGGTGCCTAACTTTTTTTTCTAGGGGCCAGTGGCTCCTCATTTTAATATTCTCCATACAGCACTGACAATCAATGACATACATGTAAATACCCAGTATAAATACATGAAGGCCTACAGCCAACGTTGCAATAGCACATGGCCAACTAGTTGCCATGCAATTTCTGCACAGTAAGTACTGTACTGTGCAGGGTACCGTACCATGTAACGGGAAGTACACGTACGGCCCACAAGCCAGACATTATGCGAATGTCTCCGTAAGCATAGGCAAACCACAAAGATCACGTTGTACCCGTATAAGCCAGTTTTGCAGATCAGGCCCCAAATTTCCACATGATTTCCACACAGAAAGAATAAAGTAACACTTTTAGTGAAGCAAAGCACAAGGATGACCCTCAGTCCCAGGAGGTGACCGTAATACAAAACCTAATTTTACATTAACCTCACAAACAAATCTTCTTCCCTGAAAGTATTAATTTCACCAATTTGTGGATGATTCTCATGCCTGAAAAGTGTATCATTGCTTAAAATGCAAATATCTCTAGAAACATGTCACCAAAACAACTTGTGGAGGTTATACATGTATTTGCTCAGTGTAAATTTTTGATACTCACCTGACAAAATATTTGAATATTTTCTATCCTGGACTGGCTGGACAGACTTCTGTTTCCCAGCTTTACGCTTTACTGCCTTTCGTAACTCCTGATGTTGACCTGAAGAAAATATGGATGGGACAAAATATATCTGTACACGGTGCATGTAATTCCAAGAATTTGTACATGTACTGTATGTGTTCAGTCAGACCCCATGTTAAAGACATATAATCTAAGGTTGTCAAAAGAGGACAGACAGGTTAAAAATTCCAAAAAATGAATTTTGAATAGATGTCTATAGAGAACTTTGTCCGAATCGCCTGAAAAATGATGTAGATGATCATCTTTACCCAGTCAACACGTGTGTGAAGTTTGGGGCTGATGATGTCATCGGACCAGAAGTTATAATGAACACTTCTTATATTCTTCAAAATTCCGTAAAGAAAATCCACCGTAAGAGATATAAGCATGAATTGTCCATGAGATGACTGCTAAAACATTAGAGTCAGCTGCATGAAGTGCATAACTGGTGTACTTCTTCACACACATGAAGCGCCGTCGCCAAAAAAACCCCTTACAATATTAACTGCCAACTCGAATATCCCATTAGTATACTGTGCATGGGCTACTGTTTGTGTGGATGCCCAATATCTGCCTGCAACATTGACAGTTCACAGTGCGTAGAGCATACATGTATACTCAGGACGAGGAAAAAAGGCCAAGAACGTGCTGCTGAGAGCAGATTGCATTGTATGGAATGCCAACAAGGACAAATCTATAAAATGTCTAATTTGTGCCTTTTCTGCGATAACTTGTTTTGTATATTGTATTGTACACGTCTTATCGGGTTGAAACCTTGCAGGTAGTTAGGAATGGAAAGTTTACAAACGGAAATTGACCTCCCGTGATGACAATGCCATCAGCAGACGAGTCATGTGATATTAAACGTACATCATTTAAAAAACTATATCTCCTGTAGTGTATATCCAATTGGGTTCAAATCTAGCAGATATCTTGAAAAGAAAGTGCTTTAGAGGAATTTTGACCTCATGTGATGATGGCGTCATGAGGAGACAAGTCATACATGTAGGTGCACTCTTTAAGGCCCTATATCTCCTGAAGTACATGTACATGTAGATGTCCGATCAGGTTCAAATCTTGCAGATATTTTGAAAAGGGAGCGCTTTAGAGGAATATTGACCTCATGTGATGATGATCTCATGAGAAGACAAGTCACGTGACACGAAAGGTGCACTCTCTAAATCCCTATATCTCCTGAAGTACATGTGCGATCCATTTCAAGTCTTGCAGATATCTTGAAAAGGGAGTGCTTTAGAGGAATTTTGACCTCATGTGATGATTAAGATATTAAAGATGCACTCTTTAGGGCCCTGTACATGTATCTCCTGAAGTAAATATCCCATTGAGATGAAACTTGGCAGATATCTAGAGGGGAATGTGTGATACACGAAAATTGACCTCATATTATGATGACGTCATCAGTTGACAAGTCACGTGACATTAAAGGTGCGTCCTTTAAAGCCCTCTATCTCATAAAATAAAGATCCCAGCAGATTGAAACCTTGCAGATATCTGGAAGGGCATGTGTGATAGACGGCAATTGACCTCATGGGATGATGATCTCATCAGTTGACAAGTCACGTGACATGAAAAATGCACCCTATAAAGCCCTTTATCTCCAAAAGTACAAGTCCGAGTGGGTTGAAACTTTGCAGATAAATGTACATGTATCTGAAAGGGGTTGTGTGATAGACAAATATGGACCTCAAGGAATGATGACATCATCAGATGAAAAGTCACGTGACATTAAAGGTGCATCATTTAAAGCTCTTTATCTCTTGAAATACATGTACATGTACCAGCGAGTTGAAACTTTGCAGATATGCAATCACGACTATGACATTTTCATTGAAAAGCGAAAAAACCCTATGTTCTGTTGCAAACAAACACAGAAGCTCTGGTTTTTTTTTCTTTTTCAAATTTTGCAACTGACATAACACTGGGTCATTCTACACACCACTTTTGGTGCTTACTTTGGGTCAATTTACTTCAAACCCGGCACATTGTGAGACTAACACCCGAGGATGTATGCAAAATCATGACGTCATCACCTGAATTATTATAGAATTTTGAACATTTAATTTTTCCCTTTACGTTTTGCACACGTTTTTCAACTGCCAGAATGGCATGCTCTTTGACCACTCCACAAGCAAAGCAAAGACCACACAGCACATATGGCCATAGAGGAATGACGTTGGTTTGACATTATAATTAGATTTATTATTTAATTTTGAAGATTTAATTTTTCCCATTGACTTTGTACACAATCTGAAACCATTTGACTTTGTACATGTATACACAGAAGTGCCGTTTTGCGTAAGTGTTTGCGCATGTCTGTATGTTGCGCAGTCAGCTGGCCTGTGCGCGACCGGTCGATGCATAGAGCTCTATGGTCGATGTGAGCATTGTCACATAATCTTATTGCATGAAGACCTACATAACTTGGCTAAAAGGTTGTGAAAAAATATCGTGCAAAATATCGAGGGGAGTGAACTCTAAGATTTCATGTTTCAGGCCTCAACCAATTTTCATTCTGAACATAAATCATCCGTGCTTGTTTTGCGCAGTCTCGCGTCAACACATGGATTTGATCAGGACGATATTTTCGACGGGCCCATGTGTTTTCTCCAGACCTCTTGGGACTTCCCGGACCTGAAATTACACATATTGAGTTTTTAATGGATTTTGCTTGATCAGAGGATTCCAAGGTAATCCCATAAAAGCTGAACTGAAACCAAATTCATGCACCGGCACAAGAAATTGCAAAAGGACTTGACATCTAATAGGCATGATCACAATGATGTTAGCAATTAAGAGTGTATCGAGCCCAACAGCTACACCGAGTGCGGCGGGCAGCTGGGTTTGGAAGCTGGATGGATGAAGTCCTGGAACTGGGTCTAGTATGCAAAAGCATACGTATTACAAAACATTCTCAATTGTAAGTTTCTGTCTGCACTTTCTAAGACTGGACAGTGATGTTAGGGGAAGAGAGCTCACTCAAATTAGCTCCGAATTTGCACTGACACACATGACATATCCCGAGAAACTTGAACTCTATAAATGGCCTTTTTTAAGATTTTGATATGCTCGCCTTAGCTTATGTCCAAATGATGAATGATGAAAAAGGAGATTAACAGTGATTATGTAAGTCCTACATGTTCAGCACAATACAGCGATCAACTTGCACATATTCATTAACTCCTTTCTGTGTAAATTATTCAATGGTTTTACAATGATGGATTTTATCAAAAGGCATGTTAAATCAGGATGGAGCACATATGCAATATACATGTATGTACACGTAAGTACTGTACATGTACATGTGCAAGTTTTACAATTGCGCTGAACCCAGACATCGAACTGACTGAAGTCCCTCAAGGTGCATACCGTATTTCATAAATATGCCCCCGAGGACAAACCATGTCATTAGGGGTTTAGGGTACATGTGTAAATATCCAAAACTGTATGAAATTCCAAATCGAAAGTATACCTACATGTACGGTTATTTCTACATGTCAATGTAATATAAACTGATTATGCAGAATAGTTGAATTTCCTTATTTTGCTTCTTGTACATGTACATGTAGGTGTCCTTTGTACTACTGCTGGAGAGAAAACTACAGATAAACCTGTTCTCCATGTTAGTTCTGAGCATTGGAATTCAATGCAACTACAGTTACATGTAGATGTCAGAGGCACGGGTACCAATGATAAAGGAAGCTGCTGTACGACAAAGCAAGGAATTTAATAGGTGATGGTGAAAAGGCCTACTGTTACATTGACATACAGACAGATTGCCAGTCTTGATTAATGCAATCATGAATTAAAGTTTGTGTGTACAATGTATGTGCATGTGGGAGGGGGGAGGTACATGTACATCCATGTACCACCATCATAAATGGTTCCCCCTTCAACATCCATGTGCATGGTCCCCCACTTTAACATTCAGGTCCCACGTACCCCCATTTAGTGAGAATGCAAGGTTGCTATGCCAATGATTACATGTGCACATGTACACTGTATTTGTGTTCAAGTTCTGACACAAGTGTTCCCCATGCATCAACACATGAACTGCTGCACCTGAATAAATGTTTCCTTTTGCAATGATACACATCTTTATCAGCACAGACAGGAGGGCAGTCTTCACACATTTTGGATGTCCACAGTATGATTGAAGAGCAGTCAAAGCAGGACTGATCCTGAGAAGGATTAGAACAGCTTCATCAAACTACTCATAGCAAGACTGCACCCGACAGGAAGTTAGATTTTATTTGTATAACAGCTAACGTTCATTGAAAGACAACTGCAGAAATTGTTCAAACTGGTTTCAGAAGAATAGTGCAAAGTTATCTGCCTTTAAAAGATCCCAAAGTTTTAAATTGGTCCCAGTGTTGTGGTCGAGTACTTTTTTCCGAATACCAAGTACTGCCGAGTACTTTGACTGCCGAGTACAAAGACAAGGCGAGTACTTTGCCAGCCGAGTACAAGTACTGGTTTCCGAGTACAAGTACTTGCACTTCTGAGTATGAGTACAAGTACTTCTAATTCAAAAGTAGTTTTATCTTAATTTAGAGACTCTAAGACCTGCCACTGTGTAAAAGAAACACCGAATGCAGATGGCATGGCTACAAGAACAAGTGATCTGGCTAGCAATGTCATGGTCACTACACGTGCATTGCAGCAGTTGACACAACGTGCATGGCGCGACGAAGTCTATTTTCCAGACTCAATTAATCACATGCCTGTGATTTTCTTTATGCTGGGTTTGTTGTTAGAATTTTCAGGTCCAGGATCCAGACTACCAATGCCCAAGTAAATCACGGGACCATTCTGGAGTACCACAATATAATTTGCGTACGTGATTGGTTAAGTATGCGCACATGGGGGCAAATGGGTCATATGCGTTAATGGTCCCACGTTCGGCCTTCTCTTTGTCAGAACCGTATCGAATATCGGGTCATTGGAGTCGATATTTTTGTACCTTATTTTAACGGCCGTGCATGGTAAATTAACTTAAAGGTTTTTTTATATCGAGTACTGTTAATCGAGTACAAGTACTTTGATGCTCGAGTTCAATTTTTGGATGCTGAGTTCTGAGTATTTTGTAGCCCGAGTACAAGAACTATAGTTCGAGTACGAGGACGTCCGAGTACAAGTACGAGTACTCTGAAATGGTACCCGAGTAGTACTCGAGTACAAGTACCGAGTACGAGTACTACAACACTGATTGGTCCCCATGTCATTTGAAGTCTCTACAAATCTTCAGAACAGATAAGAGTTGGCAGTTTTTAACACTTCAGAGAAATGTATGCCCTAAAACATGAAGGCAGATTTTTCCTTCATCTTTTCAAAACACTCCAAGTGAATATTATACAATAGTTAAATGCCTAAATGCAGTTTTTCTCTTTTCTTTTATAAATAATAGTAAGGACACTTAAACATTCTTTACCCACTTCCTGCCGGGGACTCCGGAATCGGAGACGTAAGGTTTATATGCGTGGCCGGGGTCTCCGAACTTGGACAATGGAAACAGGGCCCTGTAACAAAAGACTGTACTCCAAACAAAAGACCAGGCTGCTTGGCATTACCGACATTTTTCACTCTAAAAAGTGGTGATAATCCAGCCTTGTTTTGAAACCGTATACCAGGGTTTGGGGCATTGAGAGCGAGCGGATTACCATCGGGGACAAAAGTGCTCCACTTCCACAGCGATCAAAGTCTTCAGGTCTTGATTTCAAAGTCTCAAGGGCTTTGTTTCAAGGTCATCAGGTCTTAGACTCGAAGTCAACACATCTTAGTCCAAAGTCTTCAGGTCATCTCATCCTAAAACCATGAAATCGCAGATCTCTGTGTACAAACCTGATGATGAAACAGATGCCAGTGGATTGACTGGAAGAACAAGACATGCTGGTGATGAGGCCTCAGCTTTATCACTGTGAGAGGTCTCCATACTAAGTTGCCCTAGATAATGACAGTTAACCAAGATGTAATAAGGTCAGGTACAATGTACAGTGCCAGTAGGGAAGCAAGTGTTCAGAGAACAATGCTCAAGTCACTAACATTCATGAACAATGTACATGCAAATTCTGCTTTTCTCTACGTTAAATGTGTTTTCTTTTGCATTGAAAAATGTACATATACAAACATGTAAGGATGAGTACCGGTAGAAGGGGAATTTGTCTTTTTTCTTTCTCTGTATTTGTTAGCCAAAAATAATAGCATGGGTTGATGCTCAACCTTTTTATTCACTCATTTGTAATGCCAATCAAAAGTGACAATGTCAGATAATAGAGGGGAATAGTTGGATAAATACTGCATATCAGCATACATGTAGAGTACATCACATACTGACCAAATGGATAGGCTATATTAAGAGTGTGAATTTTGAAAGCAAATGCTTGCTGTCGGCACCAACATCTAAGAGCATGCCACTTTTTCAAACCAGTCAACAAAAATAAAAGATGATGCACCAACAAAAAATAGATTTGGGTTCTTTCCTATTCAAACTGAAAGAAAAAACGAAACTGTTTCCTTGCTTCACATATACACTGTGCATGAATTTAATCTACATGAATAGGAAAGAGTTCCACACATAGAGGTTACTCCACATCCTGTGCACAAACCCTATGACTGAGACTGGTAGGCCTGTTTGAGAACAAAAACTTCCATGTCTACACGTGCAGTACATGCACAAATACAACTTAACGAAGAAAGCTTACAAAATTATTTCCCCACTACCAGAGAAAATCTGTGAAAATCTTTTCCCACTCGTGGGAAAAAGTGTGAAAATGTTTTCTCACTTGTAGGAAAATCTGTGAAAAATCTTTTCCAACTTGTGGGAAAATCTGTGAAAATCTTTTCCCATTTGTGCGAAAAGGTGTGAAAATATTTTCCACTTTTGGAACACTTTTGAAACACTTTTTCACAATTTGTGAAATGAAAAGGAATTCCCTGGGATTAGAAAAAAATGTGAACAAATTTTCCCATTTTGGTGTTACTTTTCAATTGCAATGTACTGTAGGTAACAATCCAAACCCCAAAATTCCTTCAGGGAACTGAAAGAGTTTTATACAGGTGCCAGTAATTATTCCCTACAGTGACCTAGTAAGCCCTAGACCTATTAGCAATTTAGAAAGCAAAAACATGTCCAAAAAAGTTCCGTTTAGGAGGGAAAATAAGTCTCAGAGTGAGAAAACACTTCGACTAGTTCGAGTGCTTTCGAGTCAACTTGTACTTTGGGCGACTCATACCTTAGATGACTCGTACTTTGGACGACTCATGCCTTGGGCAACTCCTACTTTGGGCAATTCGTAGCGTGAATTAAGACCACTCATACCTTCAGCATGCTCAGGTTCACAATTTTCTACCAACAGGCATCATCCTTCTATGGGCATGAGTGCACCATCAGTTTAATAAGTGACGGATGTGGATCAACCTGATAATTTACCAAGTTGGCTTGAGACAACTCGACCATTGAGATGCGAGGCCGTAGGTGTAGGAGACTCTAGTTTTGTTTTCCAATCTTGGAGTTTTAGTCTTTATTGTTACGTAGATTTGAGGAGTTTTACCCTCATTTTTTCTCTGTTATAGGTTTGGATTGACACACTGATATCAACATTGAATTTTCTGGAGTCTGTGAGCCAGAATTAACTACATTAACCACAAGCTGGCAATGAGAGTTAACGTCATCTTCAAAAGTTTCTGTTCACCGATGTAAATAGTTTAATTTTGAAATCTTGATTTCCATTTTTTACTTAGTAGGGGTGTACATGTACGTGATCAATGATCCAACTTCCTGTGGAATAAATATTTGGGGGGGGGGGAGAGACAGGGTCAGTACTATTCATGCACTATTCATACATTTGAAGTGCGTTCATTTAGCTTACATCACATGATCTTTAACTCGCTTGCAACACACTCTGACTTAGGCCTACTTAAATTTTGCCTAGGCATGGCAGTATTCTACTTTTCTGCATTTCGCTGCTGTCCAGGTGTGACCCTGAGTGTAAAAGAAGAAAGTTTACCATAGGCCCCTAGTTTAAATTAAAAAGTTATTTTACATAAAATACAACACAATTTTAGCAAAGGGTCATGTACGGGAGCGAGATACCATTTGGGTTGCGCCCAAGGTATGACTCGGCAAAGGTATGAGGCCGAGTTCGTGCAAATACGTTGAGTTGATAGTATGAATTGTTCAAGCTACTACAAATTGTGGTCCAACTCCAAGGTAGGAGTTGACCTGTTCCCGTTCGAGTCACCAGCCATACGTGGGCTACCTCCATGGTATAATGTACAAGGCCTTAGTTAGTAGTCCTGACTAGTTTAAACGTTTACGCACAAGGTGTCAAGTTCGCCCCGCTACCACGCTCGTCTGAGCGGGGCGGACGTCGGACCGGCTCCATGGTCGGACCCAGCACCCCACAGTTCTAGGGTAGTGTCAAGTGGCGTCCCCATACGGAACTCTTTCTAAATTCAGACCTGAACAACAATATACAAAATCTTCCCCAGTGTCGCATGTAGTTTTTTTTTCTGGTTCCATTTCGTTTGTTGATATTTTGACAGATGACCATTTGTTTGTCCGCCTGTGGCGCGTACAATTTTTTAGGATAATCAATGAAAGTGCCAGGATGAAAAAGTCCCAGGATGTACAAAATGGCTGCCCCACGTTCACGCCTAGCCTGCGTCGAAAAAGAGCCGGTAATCCCAGCTAAACAGTTCTCAGGTAGCAGATACAGGTTTGTTTGACTTACCTTGATATTCTTCTGCCGACTGTATTTGAAATTCTGCGCAAACGTCTATGGAAAGTAGATTTTAACGTAACCAATACCGTACCGGGTGACGAATGCGCAGGCCGCGCTGACCGGCCATGGCCTAGTGATGCATATTTATGTCGGGTAGCCTTTTTGCCATTTTTTGATTGGACAATTAACCGCAGGCGGTTGTTCGTGTTTTAATTACTCCATTGGTGTATGGTACGCTAACAAAAAGTCCCCGGTTTCTGGTCAGACTATAGTAGAGAATGGAGAGTTTGGGACCAATTACAAACTCTCAAAAAAATCTCCCTAAATCTCTCCAACTCAAAACCGAGGGAGCAACCCTGTCGTTCTTACCACAGCTCTTGAAAATTTGAAAGAAATCTGAAATTCCAAAAACTGACGAAAGACTATGGATCTTATTTTTACTACCCAATTCGAAGAATACGCCAAGATGATGGCCGCGCACGCAACAGAACATATATAGGGCTAAGGGTGCACCACTACAAATAAATTCCCATAGACAGCAGTGATAAATCCCCATACTTCAAAAATATTTTTTAGATACTCGCAACTCTCACAGGTATTCAGGTGCTCGGAAAAATGATATTCCGCATGTCCTCTTTCATTTTCCTTTCAATTTTTAATGGGTTGACCGATGACTTTTTCGAGAAATTCTCACCTAAAGCAGACCAACCCTAAAACGAAGGAAATTTCACTGCCCCGGATAGCAGCCATTTTGAAAATGTATCCCGCTGCAAAATGGCGCAAATAGTGCAACTTTTGGACCTGATTGCATCCAAATTGCTCAGAATTGGAAGACCAGAGCCCAGAGGTTCAGTGCCATATTTCTTCAATTCCCCTGTTCCATTACTTTCGGGACCCTCTAATATAGAATATTTTGGGCGTATAACTTTTATTAATGTGCTCGGCGGACAGATTTCTTGCCTTTTCAAGGGTGCACCCCTAATCCACCGCCGCGCGGACGAAGACGTAATGGCTCAAGTTAAAAAAAATCCAACGACAGCAGCATCGCATCTGCTTGGTCAGGGAGACGAAAGACGGTCCTAAATGTTATCACCCGCTAAAGCTTTTTATTCCTGATTACTTACTTTAACGATTTGCTGTGCCCTCTCTTTAAAAAAAATGGAAAATATCATCACATTCCACAAACCATATCGAACCATGTCAAACCAAACTTATGTCATCACCGACGATCACGGACGTCTCAATGCCGACAACACAGACCCAACCGTCGTATACGGCCCCTTTAACCCGGACAAACTAGTGATAGCAGACCCAATACTCAAAGAAAGTGAAACGGTAACGCAGCGCTATTCACCCATTTGTTATTACCACGACGACAAAGAAAAACGTCTGTCGATCATGAATGATGCCAAAAACGGTCTTTTACGGTGTAAAGCCATTCTATAAAATTGGCGCCAAAGAAACAAACACCCAAAATATCGTTGGACATCAAAACTGCTATCCGATACTCCAAGAGCCTACGATCGATATACTGGACTACGTGTATATAAACTTTGAGGTTAAACCACCCTACACAAATAAAAACGCATGTACATGTGTATGTCAAGTTACATACCGCAACCACGCTGTTTAACCGTCGTAAAATCAATATCGCAAGATAAACTGGACGAATATATTGGTAAGCGTGGCGACGCGGAGTCTTTCATCTGCCTAAAGACATCTATTATGGATCTTTGTATTGCGGCGCTAGTGTTAGATATACGTTGAAAAGCTATTTTAAAGATTAACAATGCCCATGTCATTTCCGACAAAACAGCATTGTAATCGTTAAGAGGATTTGACAGTGATAGCAGCGACTTAAGAGTAAACTAAAATCAAACTTTAAATAAATAACATATACATGTATTAAAATCATCGCATTTAAAGATCTTCATTAGATTTGATTGTAAGCTCACGTTCATAAGCCTCGTTATCCCTGGGATAGTTATCCTCAGACTTTGAAGGTGAGAACATAGGGGGTCGATATAATCAGCGTTTTGTTTATAAAATCCAAGTCTAAAATAAAGAAAGTATTTAACAAATATAGACATTCAATTGACAGAAGATCAAGCGGGCCACATAGAAAACAAGTTAAACCTAGGCCGTTTTCCAATACTCAACTTCGTCTCCGTCTCAGGCTTCGTTCCCCGAAACCAATCCCCGATTGTGGGCCTGAGGCGTTTAAATTTATTGGACTACTATAGTTTTCGGCTTTTTGCATCTTATTTGATGTTCTGTGGCACTATTAGACTGATTGCTGTGCTTACAGCTTCAAAGTCAACAAGTAACGAGTTGAGGCCTGAGACGGAGCCGAAGCTGAGTATTGGAAGCGGCCCAGGTTTTAGGCCTACGAGGCAAGATCTCTGAGGGGCAAGTACTCAGGTCGTTGGTGGTGGTGTGTTATCAAGACTTGTTCACAGACCAAACGCCAAACAAAGTCACGGACCTGTTTCAAGTCTCGGAAAAACACTGGAGAGATGCTGTCAATAAATTTAGATTCTCAGAAAAAGACGGCTAGAGGGTGCTCTCTTTAAAACCGTTCATAATAAAACTTTAGATCATGGCAAATCAAATCGAAACGCATTATTTTTTTTACCGAAAACGAGCAGAAGTTTAAAGTGAAACATGTTTTTAATAACATCAAAGGCGACAAACTCGTTAGAGTAAAAATCCTACCGTTTAAAGCTGGGTACTAGCGCTACTGAAATCGAGTGGGATACAAACTTAGACGGTAGACCCGCTGAAAGGGAAATAGTGCTAAATCCAATACTTGTGCAAGAAATTCAAGACATGGTGATACGAGCGGGCAAAAATGGCAATTTAGGAGTGATGCTCCCATTAATCGCTGCCGGAATTGATCAGTTGAATGAAGAAGTTGAAGGGTTGAAAGCCTTGTTAGATCGAGAAGATGATGAAGAAACTCAAAAACGTTTAGCTAGTGAGATCGAAAGCAAAAGAATAGAATCGGCTTCAAGGTTAGAAGGAAAGAGACAAGCCTTATCACAGATTTACGAGGTTACTGTGGCAACTGAGGGCAAGTAATAAATTGTTCCCATCTCCATAATAAACAACGCTTGGGGCGACATTGCACATCAAGGGCAGAATACACGCATGCAGTCGTGTACACACTGACCTTCAATCGTGGACTTTTTTGTTCATACTTCTTTTTTGCACATTTTTGTACACATTTTTCAACCGTGGACTCCTCAGCAACCATGGACCCATTGTCCCCTTTTGTTATACATCCGCTATTTAATATGAATACACGTTCACCATCAACCCTGGCCACTGGCTGACGCAGAAACACATGCACATATACAAATCCACCCCCTCAGCACCACGAAGTCCCCAGCCTACTGTAATACATTATCATTTAACCAAACATAAACCCTAACTAAACTTGTTAAGAGAAAATAAACCACTGAACTATATAGTACCAGAGCAGCTCCTGGCCTGTCATCTTGTTACTATTGTAACGTGACAGAGGGCGCTAGTCACCAAGCGCGGTGCGAAGTTATAGATGGTGCTCTGCCCAGTAACACAGTAATAGAGACGGTGCACAGGCGCGCATAGCTGTGTGTTAAGCGCGACGAGCGCGGTGCATAGGCTCGGCCTTGTGCGTTGTACGATAGGGCAGCGGAAGTCACTGCTTGGTCACGTGAGCGCGTGCGTGGTCGACCGGTCACAGCAGCGCAAAGGCTTTAAAAAGCGCGCGCAGGCAAGGGACTAGGTTTAGTTGTGCTGATCAAGGGCTGATCCTGAAGTAAGGGTCGAGAATCCTGTGCAAGGGTTAAAGTCACCTAGCCTAGTTTGACCGTGCCTAAGTCCCGAGTGGTGCGTGTGTCGTTGAGGGGCTCGTTAGGTTGAGGGGCTAATTGGTGGTGCGGTATAGTTCCTGATAACAGCTTGCAGTCGATGCAAGGGCAGATTGCTATCTCGTGACGTGAGTTGCGTGTAGTGCAGCCCTGACAATAAGCCCCGTAGACTTGCTAAAGTCCCCGATTCGGCATTGGATGCCCACAGTTAATTGTGGTGTTCGCTGCTCTAGGTGAAGTCCGGTCACGTATAATCACACTGTCTCCCCGTCAATAGTGCCCTCTACTGGTATATTGGTTGAGTGTGTTGATGAATAAACCAGCCGCTTATTAATTGTTGTATATGAGTCAGGTGTCCAGGAGAAGTTTATTTCAAGTCAGGTCTGTCCAGGTTACGTCACTAACTTTCGACCAATCAGATTAGCCATCATCTCGACGAAGACCAACTTTCTTGGGGGACGGCATACTTCGGTCCCAACGGACTCGTCCCTAGCCGCTCAGGGACTCTCTGGCGTGCCGTCCGACGCGCTGCGCCTCGAGGAGGAGGGCGCCCTCGCCTTGGTCGGAAGGGCCTTGCGTCACAAATTGGTGTCAAGAGATCAGTCGCCAATTGGAAGACTTGAAGAGGCGTGGCTTGATTGAACCCTCAGATAGTCCGTGGGCGGCTAACGTTGTGTTGGTAAAGAAGAAAGACGGGACGAAACTGAATGCAGTGACAATAAAGGATGCCTATCCCGTGCCAAGAACTGATGAGACGTTGGATGCGTTAGAGGGCGCTCGATGGTTTTCAACCCTCGACCTCGCCTTAAGGTAATGGCAGGTTGCCTTGGACGAGGATGCACAGCAGAAGTCAAATTTTGTGGTACGGAATGGGCTTTATCGTTGGAAGGTGATGCCGTTCGGGTTAGCCAACGCACCGGCTACATTCGAATGACTGATGGAGAAAGTGTTGTCAGGGCTGCAGTGGGAAATCTTATTGGT